CAACCCAAACCATCCTGTGACTCTACGATAAGCAAGGTGCTGAGGAGGATGCAGCCTACAGCCTGTCCGTGGGAAAGTCTGGCCACAGGGATCTAGGAGAGAAAAATTTCTGTTGCTTAAATACACCTACCTAAATCCCTGCTTTCCTTTCCTCCCCATTTTTTCCCCAGCCATATTGCATGAACTATCTCCTTTCAGAAGTTAGACCAGCTGGTGAAAACATAGAGTTTGTACGCATTTTGTCTCTTTGACCTTTTGAAAGGAGGCCAGGAGAGCCAAGGTCTAAGTTTATCAGACTGAGGCCAGCCAAAAAGTTTGCAAGAGAAGAGCTGGCATGGTTTGCCAACCATGATTAGTGAAGGAAAACAAAAAAAGAAGGAAAAAGTGAAAAAGACTCATAGCCTGTATCTGACTGTATCTGAGCTGCTTTTTAATTTGAGGCTTTCCCAGAAAACAGAGCAGAACCACACTGGGTTCGCAATGAAAAAGAGAGAATGGAGATGGAGTAAGTTAACACAAAAGGGCTTGGAGACAGAAGAAAAATTTTTCTTTTGTACTGGTTAGCTCTCTGCATGTCTCAGTTGTCAAATGCAGCAGGAAAATCGCTGCTTCTTCTACTCTGGAGGAGCCAATGTCCACAAAAACCCACGGTTGGTTTTCAATATATCTGTATTTATTTAATGGGCCACAGCTGTCTCTGGAAGTCTAAATTAAACGCACATTGTTGGATCTTAATGTAAAGCATTACAGCGTTCTTGTTGACCAAAGCAGAACGCAGATAACTGGGTTCAAATCCAACCTCAGATCCTAATCCTACACTAAGCTTTCATTACAGGATGGCAGAAGGTGAGCAGAGGGGTGGAAGCATGGGGTCAGACTGTATCAGCAGGTATCGCTTTCCCTGGCTCGGTTTTGCCTGAGTTACTTCAGTTGTGCCCAGAGGGACAAGGTTCCTGCAGCTAGAGCAAAACTTCTAATACACCCCTCAGCTGGGATTGTGAAGGATGTGTGTGCACCCGCGTGCCTGTGAGATAAGGACTGAGAGAGGGACTGATGTCCAAGCCTCACAGAAAGAGAACACTGCAAATGACTCTTCTGGCTGCTCTCACACATCCAGATTCCCTGGGGAGAGGGGTAATGTTGTTAGACTAAAGCGTTTTCTCTTATGAAAACACGTGCGGGAAAGTGTTAAACTCTGCAGCGTGGTATTTTGGTTTCCACATCCCCTGATGAAATGGTTTTTTGCCTGGGGAAAACATAAAGGAAGAAAAATATCCCCTGGAAATATCTGCATAATTTACTCCCACACACCTAGCGAGAGATTTACAACTGAACAGCAGTTCCCTCAAACCATCACATCGTGCTCTGAATTACACTTCTGTACTCCTACCTGTAAATTATACTGTTAATTAGTTAATGACTGTAAAGGGCTTTGGAGAAGAAAAGAACACTCATTAAATATCATTGTTCTGTACTCTAGTGTGCTATGTTCCACTGCTCATTAATCTCCAACCTCTTCCTGAACGTCTCTCTACCAATTAAGTTTCATACCCTCAAATAGCAAATTAGCCTATTGTCTGACTTAACTGAGATGAGCAGCACTGTTCAGAAAGTGTTTCCTGAAACCTTAGCTTCAATTACCTTCTAGGCAATTTCAAGCTGGTGTCTCACATCAAATTCCCAAAAGAAAATGCTTGGTTTACATCTTGAAAACCTCAGTCTTGGATAAACCAAAACCCCAATATGGACAAGGGAAATCTAATATACGGGATTAGATTTTTCTAACAAGCTCAAATCCCACTGAGAAGAGAAAATGAGGGGCCAGATGTTCAGAAGAGTTCAGCATGCAGGACACTGAGGGCTTTCGAAAACCTAAAGCTCTTCTATGGGTGCTGAAACCCACTCCTGGCAGCAAGTCCTGGCGAGAGGCACTTGAAAACCTAACCCCTTCTGCCACCTGGCCAAGTTTAAGATTGATTTGCCTTTAAAATTCCTGGATGCCTTCACTGAGTATATCCATGCTGAAGTCAGCAGGAGACCTGGCTGCTTTCTCTGGTTTCTGGAATTCCTCCTAAGGCTTAGCTGGCTGAACGGTGTTCCTTATTGCACTCAGGAAAGGGTGCACATGGCCAAACCTAGAAGCAAGCAAAAAACCTGAAAACTCTTATCCGATGGGCAACCCTGTTTTCCTGTTGGGCTCCTGTCTGAGAAATCAGTTCACTGCTTGTCTTAGACTGCCTTTTTAACACCTAACCCTCCCACCCACCTCAACTATCCTCCTGCAAGAAGTGGTTGTTACCGCTCTGTGACAAGTCCTAAACAGACCCTCGGGGCCAGGAGAGGGGTTGTGGCACAGCACCTTTGAAAAACACAAGCCCCATGCCCCTCGATTTAGAGTGTGCTGCCTTCCTCCCCTTGCAGACGCTTCTTGGAAGGCCTGCACTTTCTGAAAGCAAGACTGGCTTACGGACCCACCAGAGAATTCCTAAGCAGCTTGATCACCAGGTTTGATCACCTGAGCCACACCAGGCTCTCACACACCTGTCACAGATGTCTGTATCCTTTTCTTCCCATCCAAGATCCTCTTGGGGCCTGTTTGTTTGGAAGTTTGGGGTTTCTCAGTCAGTGTTACCTGGGTAAAGCGGTGACTCTTGTCCTCCTTGCCCAGGCACCAGTTCAAGTGCTGCAGTGGTCTCCGAGGATCTCCCACCGCACAGCTGTGGTAGAAGGTGGGCACCTCATGGTTCTTCAGCTCTTCCCACTGCAGGAGCCCCTCCACCGGCGTTCCCCGGAGAAAATCAAAGTTCCACTTCTGCTGGGCCCCCTCAGCGTTGTTGCGCAGCATGTGCTGGAAGTCCCACCGCAGCCGCTCGTGGTCTACGGGGCCAAAGAGGCGCCTCCGGACACGGGCCATCTTCCCCAGCCTCCGCTCCATCTTTTCGCCCTGGTGCCGCTCTCCGGTGAGCGTACACAGCAGCGACTCCCTGCCAAGGACAGAAAGACCATCAGCCACCCTTTGCCTGCTCAGTTTGGTGGGCACTGCATGCTCTTTAAGGGGACTGTGGCAGTAAACCTAAATACTTTTGATCCTGCTACAAGAAATCTTAAGGATTGAAAAGAATTTATCCCAGTCTCCAGTCTAGAGTGAGAATTCCCATCTGTAGGATGTGTCTATTGAAGGATAGGGAAAGCTGAAAAGCCCTCACCTCTTTTGTGCATCCTTATTTCAGCGGATGCTGAGTGAGGGTTTGCCCAAAGGGGACAGAGACACACGAGGAAGTGGACAATGTCCCTTGAGGCAGTGCAGGAAAAGGCAGAAAGCACAGAAGCGCTACTTGGAGAAAACTACCGTGAGTATCACCTTAAACAAGGGAAAGGGCATGAAAAGGAGGAATTACAGCACAACGAAGGCTGATGGCCACCAGTAAAGTACAGAAGACACTTAATTTTACAGTGGAGGTGGTATCTCTTTCCTGACTGCTCTTACCACTGCTTGGTTTGCGGTGTCAGCCAAGCTGGAAGCTAAAAATGATCAGAGCAAATCACCTGCTTCTTGCCTGACATGTTCACTCCCGTTTCTTCAAACAACTGCCTGAGAAATGGTCCCAGTCACAGACAAAACCACTGTCTTGTTTCCTACAATGGCAAATCCCATAGGCGGACTTCCCATTTGGTAGGCCGCCATGGGGGCCGATGAGGAGAAGAAGTGAGGTTTGCACTCCCCCCAGCACGTAAGGTGGGGACACGGAGAAACAGAGAAGAGGAATCAGGCATTCTGCAGGTTTCATAGGCCAGAGGGGCATAAATATACCAAATACATTCACCTACTAATTCTTGCATCGGGTCTTTAATTTCTGGATGAGCTTGAAAATAGATCTTAAAGGTCATTCAATTCTTTCTCTGGATCCACAAAACTCAGCCCCCCTCACAAGCCGTGACGGGTAGCAGCAGACAGGCTACAAAGAAACCTCAGAAAAGTGTTAGCAAACAGCCAAATTTTGGATTTGTTGCGCTACTGAGTTCTGCAGATCCTAAAGAGCGTAAGGACAGAGCTGAGAGAGGTCAACTGGTGATTCGCCTGCAGGTCATGGAGACAGCCAGAGCAGCAGAGCTGCTGCAGAACCTCAAGCTTCAGGCTTGGTCTCCAACATCCCAAAGGGTGCTTCAGCTGCAGCTGACGCAAACTCAGATACGACTGGTATAATCAACTCCTCCCACCCCCCCCCCCTTATTATCTTTGCAGGGTTGTATCTAATCCACATGAACCCTGAGCACCCCCTTGCAATCACAGCCCAAGTGCCTACTCTGAAAACGTCACTTGGTGGCTCCGGTATCAAGAGCTTGTCAGCAGCAGGGCAGTGTTGGCACTTGGATGGCTGTGCACGCAGTCTGCCACGGAAAACTTGGATACTGAGGGATGCGGCTGTCTCCTCCTAGGTGGAAGCCAAGCGTCAGTCCTGCGGCTGACAGCGTGCCTGAGCAGCGGAGGTCTGACGAGGCGGGCCGGCTCCTGCATCTGTTCCTAAATCTAAGGCTCTGAACCAGCGTCCTGCAAACGCATGGCCCACACCACAGAGCGCCAGGTCTGGGTTGCCCTTCCGGTGCTTGGATCTATTTGAGACCTCGAGTGTGGTTCTCTGGAGGCTGGTGCCTCCCGTGGAGCTCCGGGAGGGAAGCGGAGTCACCATGTTCCCTCTGGCACACCACCTGGGCCTGATGAGACTACGGTGCCTCCTGGGCCCCAGGCGGGTCCCTCCGGCGGGACCGTGCCATGCGGTCTGGCTACGCCGGCTCCTTGGGCCTGAGACTGCTGCCAACGGGAGCAAAGCTGGCAGCTGCCCACCAGATGCCACTCGCTCCCCATAGCGCCTAGGAAAGGTAGGAAAGCACTTCTCCAGAGGAAAACTGCTGAGAGCACAACAAGGACATTCCTCTAGGTGGCATCCAGAATCCCCGAAATTCCCACGGAAGTTTTCCCGGGGATGGCGCAGCCTTGCCCTTAGCGTGGGGATACTCGGCGGTGCCGGCTGTCACTACAGCTAGTGACAATCACACCTCCGCTGCTTCTTCACCCGGTGCCCAGCCCCTGGCAGCCTGCACTGGGTTCATCCACAGGCAATCGGATCTTAGGAAAAGGCAAAAGGATGCGTGCAGTGCTTCGCAGGAATACTTCCCCATGTTGGAAACTTCCCTCGTTACGAACTGTTTGCTATCAGTGTGAGGAAGAAAGAAGGCATTTATCGACAACTGTGGCCTCTCCTAACAGCACATTTCAATACCACACAGGAATGAGCTAGGGAAGGCTCTGCCCTGTTAACGATCAAACCTATTCCAGCACAGCCTACGGAATCCAGTGCCTTGTCTTTAAGATCGTCTAATTCCAGGTGTTTCAAAGGAAGATAAAAAGCCTGCAGAGAGGATAATTATAGAATAACCTTTCCCTATGGAAAGTTTCCTCCTAACACGCCTAGCTGTGCCATGAATCACAAATGCTTATAATTCCAAACTTACATCATGAGTATACACTGCCTGTTGTCATTTCCATTATTCAGTCACATCCAGGGTGAAATCCTGGCCCTTCAGAAGTCAGTGCAAGTTTACCAGAGAACCAGGATGTGGCTCCTCGCTTTGTTCAGGACGCTTTCCAAGTCTTGGCTCCAAAGCTGCACCGTCACTATTCCCACAGCTTAGTCTGAGTTGCGTGGGTGTATTAAAACACTCATAAAACACCACCAAAATGTTTCTGAAACGCAAAAACGTTGCCGGCAGGGTCCGTCCTTTCTTATTCCATGATTTCTGCACCACCTCAGAACAAGCTGTGAGCCTCATTCTGCCAAGCCCGTACCTAACCGCGTGCGCATCCTTACGGCGCCAGGACGCGGGACAGACGCGGGACGAATGCGGAAGGCTGGAGCTCTGCGCTCGCAGCGGCCGCTTCGGTTTTCTCCCCAGTTCTGCACTAGCTTGAACGGGTTGAAGAGAAACAAAAGTTTCCTAGGCAGGTCAGCGTTTGCTCCTTGCATCGAGCTTTCAGAGCACCAGAGGCACGTTCTCCCACATTTCTGAATTTCCAACGTGTGCATGAGTTAAAAATGGTAACAACCACGGGAATTTAGTGCTGTGGATATGTCGTTTTCATTCTCTCAGGGAAGCTCTGCTTCTAAACAATTGTGGTAAGGAAAGTGTGAGCCATAAATCTTATTTCTGCCTGGGGCGGGTGCGCAGGCACCTTTAGCTCATCCTGTTCTAGAACTGCAGCTGAGAGCAAGGTCTCCCCGTCCCTCCGGGGC